GGAGCTCCTGCCGCAGGCAAACTACGTCACCCCGGCGAAGCAAGGAAGCCGACTGGGGCAATGCGGCAACCCTGGTGGCGGTGGTAATGGAGGTGGGAGGCTGGCCAAGGACGCCAACAAGCAAGGTCGTCCAAGGATGGCGGTCGTGGAGGAAGAAGTCGGCGTCGGGAGTGCTGGCTGTGCAGCGACCCCAGCCACCTCTCCTTCGAGTGCCCCGACCGCGACGACTCCGACGACGCAAAGGGAGGCCGAGGGAGGTTGGCCGGGCGTCGCCCTTGCCGGGAGAGCAAGCCGCGGAAGGAGAAGCAGTCGACCAAGTCGACCTCGGCGAAGAACGCCGACTCCTCCTCCAACGGCAAGGGGCGAAGCGACGGGGAAGCGTCGTGCTCGCTGGTCAGTGTCATGGAGTCGATCGTCTCACTGGCGCCGGAGGCCGGTGAGGACTTCCAAGCGGTGGCAGCAGCGGTGCAGGCGAACCCGGCGGTGGTCCTGCTCGACAGCGGTTGCTCGCACCACCTGATGGGTACAAAGGAGGTGTTCGTCGTCCTGAAATCGAGCAGAGATGTCAAGCATGTGCGCGGCTTCAATGGGGCATTGCAGGACGTCCAAGGCCGAGGCATTCTCGCCCTGCAAGGAGCAACCGGGAAGCAGGTGCTCATCCCCGACGTGCTCTACGTCCCAGGCGTACACGCGAACCTTCTATACGCAGGCCAACTGCAGGAGACCGGCATGAAGCTACAGAACGACGGTGACGGGATGCTACTCGTCTCGGCGTCGGGGGACGTCCTAGGTCGGGCAACATACACTGGCCAGGTCCTCTGCACCGACCTTCGTCCGTACACGGCGACGATGACGCCTACCACGACGGAGACTGTGGCTCTATGGACCACCGCTACGGCGATGAAGTCGACGCCGCCAGGTGGCACGCGAGGCTTGCGCATGTCGGCGTCGACATCATCACGAGCTCGGCGAAGCATAAGGTCGCCACCGGCCAGGACATCAAGCCATTGGCCTACACCCGACTCTCTGTGTGTCTCTTGCGTCGGTGGGAAGCTGGCGCGGCACACCTTCCCTGAGAAGGGCTCGGACGGCGACGACGCTCTGGCCGTCGTGCACATTGCGGGCCGTTCCGCGTGGCTGCCAAGAACAGGAGCCTGTACTTCATGCTGCTGAAGGACCGCAAGGCCCGCTACGTGTGGGTGAGTCCGGTTGCCAAGAAGTCCGACGTGCTGCGGGAGTTCGAGAAGTGACTGGTGGTGGCTGAGCGACAGACGAAGAAGTCGGTGTTGATGATGCGCTCTGACCGAGGGGGAGAGTTCTTCGGGAAGGAGTTCACCAACTTCGTGGAAGACAAGGGAATCCTCCACGACCTGACCTGCCCGTACACACCGTAGCAGAACGGCATGGCGGAGCAGAAGATGCGGACGGTGGTGGAGTCGGTGCGGACGATGCTGCTGCACATAGGCGTGCAGCACCACTGGTGGCACCTTGCCCTGCGCCAAGCCGTCTAGGTGCGCAACTGCCTTGAGAGGTCGACGCTGCCGCCGGGGACGACGCCGCACTAGTGGCTGACCGGCAAGAAGCCTGACCTCACACTGGCCAGGGTGTGGGGCTACATGGCGAAGTTCCTGGTACCAGAGCAGCAGCGCGGTGGCAAGCTGAAGCCGAAGGCCAGGTGGGGCCTTCACCTCGGTGTGTCGGAGGAGAGCAAAAGTTGGGAGCTCCTCGACCTCACCGACAACTGGGTGGTCACCACGTCGGACGTGGTGCTCTACGAGATGATGTCGCTAGAGGTGTGGAAGTCGGAGCACGAGCCGGTGTCGGGGAGGAAGCCGGCCAACCCGCCTACGGACATCTCGACGACGACCCTTCCTCTGCTCGCCGAGATCGGCGAGCCAGCTGCTGAGGACGCTAAGGGCGTCCTCCCCTCTCTCTTATCCTGCCCCTCGTGCCCCGCCACTCGTAGCCGACCTGCAGAAGCTGACGCCGGCGTCGACCTTCGGCGATGAGGGGAGAAGTGGGACGTCGCCTGTGGCGCCGGCCAAGAGCATCGACGATGGTTGACGTGACGTCGAGAAAGTGGAGCAGTGGGTGGAGAAGGTTGCGGCAGAGAAGCCGCTGACAGGGGAACAACCACCAGGGACGCCGACTAAGGAGCCGTTGTCGACCAGGCAGTCGATAGAGGAGCCCAGGACAGTGGAGGAGTCGGCAGGGACGCCGACTTTGGTGCAGCAGGACGTCGAGGGCAGCGAAGCCGGTGATGATGCAGGGGAGCAGTCGGGCGCCGATCAGTCCACTTACAGCGATGTGGTGGAGATCATTGCCAAGGAGCCCGGACCACGGCGTTCAGGGCGACTTCGGAGGTCGCCTGAGTTCCTGACCTACCATGTGTGCCTGCCACCACCCGCCTTCACAACGCTGCATGACGACGACGAGGATGAGCCACTGTACGACGACGCTGAGAATGACGTCGACCTGCCGGAGCTCAACCCCGACATGCACGCCGACCCCGAGCACCGCTGGGACATCGCGACGATGACGGTGAAGGAGGCATTGGCGAGCTGGAAGGGCAAGGCGGTGAAGGCCGCCATGGACGAAGAGATCCGCAGTCTCATCGGCATGGGCACCTGGGAGCTGGTCGAACGCCCACGCGGGGTGAACATCGTGAAGAACTGGTGGGTGCTGATGACCAAGTACCACGTCGACGACACGGTCACCTGGGAGAAGGCGAGGCTGGTCGCGAAGGGCTTCACACTGGCGTTTGGCACCAACTACGACAAGAGGTACGCGCTGGTGAGTAGCTACGTAATGCTGAGGATCTTCGTCAGCATTGTCGCCGTCCTCGACCTCAACCTGATGCAGCTCGATGTGAAGAAGGCCTCCTGCAGAGTAAACTCGACAGGGTGCTGTACATGTACCAGTAGGAGTACTACAATGATGGGACTGGCTGGGTTTGCAAGCTGCTAAAGAGCCTGTACGGGCTAAAGCAGTCGCCGCTGCTGTGGTACAGGGCTCTTCACGCCGTGCTGATGGGCGCCGGCTGGAAGAAGAGCCAGGTTGATGAGGCGTTGTACTTCAAGGTCAGCACCGATAAAGTGGCCTGCTGGGAGCTGGTTCACATTGACGACTTACTCGCCGCCAGCAGCAGCACCCCGATGCTGAAGGAGCTATTGGAGGACACCTTTGAGCTGCGCGAGATCTTGCCGGTGTAAAGATACCTCGGGCTGGAGATCGTGCGCGACAGGCCAGCGAGGAAGCTGTCGGCCAGCACGGAATGGGCATGCCCATGCCCATTATGTGGATGCTCATGCCCATCCCTAGGCCGTACATGATTATGCCCATTCCCATACCCATGTCCGTGCCCATGTCCATACCCATGCCCATGCCCATACTCATCGGTCCATACCTATATGCACATCAATTGGCTGCACCAGAAGGGCTACGCCGCCAAGCTGTGCGGGCGTTTCATCGACGAGGAGCAGACCGGTCGCACCACGAAGATGCCGGTGTCCATCAACGCCTATGCTGAGCAGACGTTCAATGACAAGGAGGCACAGGAATGACAGGAGGAGGAGTACCGACAGAAGGTCGGCTCGCTGTAGTTTGCGGTGACGACGTCGAGGCCGGACTTTGCCTTCGCCTGCAGCAAGCTGGGGAGCAGCCTGACGGTAAGGAGCGACCAGCACTGGTGCGAGGTCGACCGCCGCCTCGCCTACCTCGCCAACACTCGAGACACCGCCCTGGAGTTTGGCGGTGGACCTGAGTCGCATAAGCTGCTTGGCTATGTGGACGTCGACGATGCCGGCGACTAGCAAAACCAGATGAGCACGGGCGGCTATGTGTTCGTCTAAGGAGGGGACGTAGTCTCCTGGTCGAGCCAGCGCATCAAGTGTGCGATGCAGTCGTCGACCAAATCGGAGTACGTGGCGGCCACCGAAGCCGGAAAGGAAGGATGCTGACTTCGATTCCTCTTTGTAGAGTTCCGGCTTTTGGACGCCGGGACGCCGACTGTCCCTCGGGTGAACAACAAGTCAGCCATCACTATCGCTGTGGGTCTAAGGCTGCAGGGCAACCTCAAGCACATAGAGCGATGCTATGCCTAGCTGCAGCACATGGTGAAGCGCGGGAAGTTTTCGCTCAAGTAAATCCCGACCACCGAGCAGCGTTGCACTATCCGGCCTTCAACTGGAGCTCCGTCGCAATCGGCCAGGTGCGACTGGCCGACGTCGGCGACAGTGACGACGACGTGCAGCAGTAGGTGCCATGCCCTCTTGCATGGCTGGTGCGGTGACCGGCATACTATGTGTTGTGTGTGTTAACGGGAGTGGAGTGTTGGCCCCGCCCTCGCTTGGGCAACACCGACGACTTGGTCGGATGTACGGCAGTAGCAGCCAAGCGTTCATAGTGGGAGAGCTCCTTGACAGGCTTCGTCGAGCTTGAGGGGACCGCTGTGGTGTTGCTGTCGACCAAGGAGCTCGACAGCTGCAACTGACTGGTCTCGGAGACGGGTGGGCCATCGACCAGGAGGGGAAGTTCGACCGGGAGGTCGACGGAGCTGTCCGTTGACCTGCAGGTCGACCGGGAGGTCAACGGAGCAGTCCGTCGACCTGACAAGTGAGCAGTGGTCGACGAGGGGAGCTCGGCAACAAGCTGACAGTTCTGGTCGACGAAGGGGTCCGTCGACCAGGTGGTAGCTCGACGGGAGCTGTGTGTCACAATAGATTTATACCTATTTAGTATTATCTGCCTGTAGTGTAGCTGTTGTGTAATTCCCTTGTGTGGTGGTGCACCTCTTTCACCTTTGTTAGGTTGCTATATGTACTCGTGTGCTATAGTGAGCCTCCAACCATTTTCAATTCTCCTTGGCACAAACTACTCGACACCCGCTTGGCCTATGCTACTAAGCCTAGGCCCTCCTTAAACCCGGTTACCAGTTAAGACACTATCGTAACATGGTATAGAGCCTAAAAGTTCCTAGTGCCTGCAGTTTTTAATTTCCAATGGGCCCACCAATAGCCTTAGCCATGACCCGCGTGCAGCTGCCTCGTCGCGCCTGCCAGCGCTTTAGCGAGCCCACTGGCAAGATCGCCAACGGATCCGCCATCGAGCGCGCCAGCGACCCACGAGCGAATCAGCCAGCGGACCCCCAGACGGCCTCGCCAACAAGTGAGCCAGCGGACCCACGGGTCCGCCAGAAAACGAGCCAGCGGACCCGCGAGTCCGCCAGAAAACGCGCCAGCGAAAACGCCAGCAAAATTGCAAGCGAAATCGCCAGCGGCCCGCCAGCGAAATCACCACGCACCTACGACTCCGTCTGTCTCCCCGTTTTTTGTCGCCCCAGCCGCTCCTTCGCCCGCCGTCGCTCTGCCAGTCGCATTCCCCCTGCCCCCTGCCCGTCACCCCCCCCGTGGCGACAGTTTGCGTGTGCAGCGGCGGTCGCCGTGGGGAGGAGAGGGAGGAGGGGAAGGGAGTGGCGGCGGAATGCTGTGGGGAGGAGAGGGAGGAGGGGAAGGGAGTGGCGGCGGCACATCAGCGACGACCGCCAGCGCACCGGCGTTCGCACCAGCGCTCGCGCGCCCTTTGCTGCTGCAGCCCGTCCCCTGCACACCGTCAGATCCCGCCCGGCCTGTAGCCCGCTGCCGCTCCTTAGCCCGTCACATTACCCGCGCCCCATGCCCGTTCCCCCCCCCCCCCCCCGTCGTGGCTGTTCTCGTGTGCAGCGGCGGTCGCTGTGTGGGGGAGAGGGAAACGGGGAAGGGAGTGGCGGCGGATCACTGTGGGGGGGAAGAGGGCAAAGGGGAAGGGAGTGGCGGCGGATCACTGTGGGGGGGAAGAGGGCAAAGGGGAAGGGAGTGGCGGCGGAACGCCAGCGACGACCGCCAGCGCACCGGCGATCGCGCCTCACCTGCTGCTGCAACCCGTCGCCCGCGCGCTGCCCGTTCCTGCAGCCTACCGCTCGCGCCGCCGCCCGCCCGTCCCCTCCTCCTCCCCCCAACCCCCCCCCCCCCCCCCGTCGCCCCCACCCACGCTCCCGCCAGCTCCAGCCGCGCTTGCGACTGCTACCGTGCTAGCTCGAGGTGGTGGGGGTGGCGGCCAGTGGGGAGGCAGCGGGTGTGGAGGCGGAGGTGGTGGGCTGTTGGGGGGAGGTTCAGGGGGTGTGGGTGGTGAGAGTTCAACTGCAGCATCATCCGCCTCCTCCTCCCATCCCCTGCCGCCCGTGCCTTGCTGTCCACCCAGTACCTCCCGTATTGCCCGTACTTCCCCGTGCTTGCCCCGTGCCCATGCCCGTGCTGTCCGCTCGTGTTCCACGTGCCCGTGCTGTCCGTACTCGGTTGTGCCCCACCCGTTTCACCCGTGCTGTCCGTACCCGGTTGTGCCCCACCCGTTTCACCCGTGCGTCCCGTGCTTCCCGTGCTGCCCCCGTGCTCCCGTGCCGCTCCCGTGCTGTCCCCGTGTTCCCGTGCTGCCCCCGTGTTCCCATGCTGCCCCCGTGCTGCCCCGTTCTGCCTGTGTCGTGCCCGTTTCCGTGCCGTGTTGCCCCGTTCAGCCCTTGTCCTGCCCCGTTCTGCCTGTGCTGCCCCGTTGTCCCCGTGTTGCCCCGTTCTGCCCGTGTTGCCCCGTTCAGCCCGTGGCCTGCCCCGCTCTGCCCGTGTTGCCCCGTTCTGCCCGTGTTGCCCCGTTCAGCCCATGTCTTGCCCCGTTCAGCCCGTGTCCTGCCCCGTTCTGCCCGTGTTGCCCCGTTCAGCCCGTGTTGCCCCGTTCTGCCCGTGTTGCCTCGTTATGTTGCACGAGGCTTCAGTCAGCGAGAGGGAGTTGACTTCTTCCAGACCTTCTCCCCGACCCCGAAGATGACCACTCTTCGGGTTCTACTGCACGTCGCCGCTCAGCGTGACTACGAGCTCCACTCTCTTGACTTCAGCACTGCTTTCCTACAGGGCAGCCTGCACGAGGAGATCTGGCTGCGCCGCCCACCTGGCTTCACTGGGTCGTTCCCTCCTGGTACCCAGTGGAGCCTCCGGCGGCCAGTCTACGGTCTCCGCCAGGCGCCACGTGAGTGGCACGACGCACTGAGAACTACACTTGCGGCTCTTGGGTTCGCTCCTTCTACTGCTGACCCGGCGCTGTTTCTACGCACCGACACCTCGCTGCCGCCGTTCTACATCCTCGTGTACGTCGACGACTTGGTCTTTGCCACAGCTGACACTACGGCACTCGCCCACGTGAAGTCGGAGCTGCAGAAGAGGCACACGTGCACAGACCTGGGTGAACTGACAAGCTATCTTGGCTTGCGGATCACCCGGGACAGAGCACAGCGCACCATCACCTTGACTCAGTCACACATGGTGCAGCAGGTCCTTCAGCGCTTCCGCTTCACGTACTCCTCGCCTCAGGCCACTCCTCTGCCTACCGGTCACTCGCTCTCAGCTCTGCCTTCGGATGAGTCCGTAGAGCCGAGTGGCCCGTATCCAGAGCTTGTGGGCTGCCTCATGTACCTGATGACCTGCACTCGACCTGACCTTGCATACCCTCTTAGCATCCTTGCACGCTATGTCGCTCCTGGCCGTCACCGGAAGGAGCACATGGATGCTGCTAAGAGGGTGTTGCGCTACTTGTGCAGTACGTCAGGCATGGGACTAGTGCTTGGAGGACGGGACCGAGTTGTACTCACTGGGCACTCAGACGCTTCTTGGGCTGACGACCAGGCTACTCAGCGGTCGTCTCAGGGTTACACCTTCAGCCTTGGCTCTGGTTCAGTTTCTTGGCGTTCTACACGCTCGTCTTCTGTTCTCAGCTCCAGTTGTGAGGCTGAGATCTACGCCACAGCAATGGCTGCACAGGAGTTACGCTGGCTCACCTACCTGCTGACAGATTTGGGAGAGCGGCCTCGTTCTCCTCCAGTGCTGTACGTCGACAACAAGGCAGCCATTGCCTTGTGTGAGGAGCACAGACTGGAGCACAGAACGAAGCTTCGTCTGTGTTACATGGCCACTCGGGCCAACGCTGCTGATGTGTTCACCAAGGCGCTTCAGCCTTGTGACCATCAGCGCTTCTGTACTGTTCTAGGCCTTGTGCCTACTGTGCCTCACTTGCTTACTTCTTGACTCTGTTTGTACTGCGATCTCTATATATATACCTGCATGCTTACACTTGCTAGGTTGTGATCACTGTACCTCTTGTTATATTATTAACCTGCATGTGAACTGGTCTTGTGACCACTTGCTTGTGCTCAGAATTTGTGTGGTTTCCTTGAGATCCACCCTGAGCTTGCTTTGCTTTGCTTTGACTGGTCTTGTGACCATCTGGTTGTCTCCCACTTAGCCTATGGAGGTGTGTCAAACATTATGTGTTTATATTGTGTAGGCTATAGTGGGTTTAGCCTTAGGGGGTACAACTTTGCTAGGGTTTCCTACTTGTATCCCCATCATTCCTAGTTTCTTCATTCTCGTTCAGTGACAGATTCTAACACTTGGTGTAGGGGACCCACTGCTTGTCCCCCACAGTCGCCAGTACCCTGTTCTTCACAAGGGCGACCTGCCGTAGTGCAGTCACCCAAAACGGATCCGGCAGCTCTGTGCGTCCAAGGAGAGTGCGAGCACCTTCCTGCAGGGTCCGGTTGAACCGCTCAGCCACGTCGTTCTGCTGAGGGTTGTAGGGCACTGTGAGTTGATGCTGGATCCCCTTCTTCTTCAGCACCGCCTCAAAATCAGGGCCAATGAATTCTCCCCCATTGTCAGTGCGGATCACCTTCACTTTGTGTCCGCTCTCCCTTTGAGCTCTCGGCATCCACTCCTTAAGAACAGCCGCTGCCACTTCCCCCTTGGTCTTAAGAGGGTACACCCACACCGCACGCGTGTGGTTGTCCACAATCGTCAAGAAGTAGCGGCTGCCCGAGAGAGAAAGGACCCTTGTAAGGCCCACCACATCCATGTGCACAAGCGCAAGTGGAGCCTTGGCTGGTCTTGTGCTGCTGCTGAAGGGGAACTTGGTGAATTTAGTCTCAAGGCATGTAGGGCAGCTCCCAATCTCCTTCGCTGCCCCCTTCACCTCCAACCCCTTCAAGCTCCCATCGTTCACCAACTTCTGCAGCATCGGAATGTTAATGTGACACAACCTCTCGTGCCACGTCTCCCAATCGGCCTCACCACTCCCAGATGAAGCCTTTGCCCATGCAGCGCTCCCATCCACACCAGCAAGCACCTCACCATGTGGCTGCTGTGGCTGCTGCACCTTCTTGACTGCATCCAGGGCCCCATCAGTTGGTGCAGTCTCCTCTCCTCCAGCAGTTGCTTTAGCCGTTGCCGCTGCCGCTGCCGTTGCTGGTGGTTTCCCATTCCAAGGAATGATGGGCAGCTGCCATAGGTCCTTGATGCTGCTGCTCTTCTCCTCCAAATCCCACAGCTGCAACTTCCCAAGCTTTGCACGGCACCTGGTTGGGCCGAAGGTCACTTTGGCCATGCTTTTCTGCAGCCGGCGCACAGAGAGGAGGTTAGCGGACAAACCTTCTACCAGCAACACATTCCCTAGCCCCACAAGCCCCCCATTGGCTCCCATTACCTTGGCATTCCCAACACCAATCACAGGGAGCAAAGAACCTGAAGCGGCAGCCACAAACTTGATCTTCCCAGGGGGTTTTACCTCGTCAAGCAAATCTGCCCGTGGGGTCATGTAACTTGTGCAACCTGAATCGATCACCCAGTAAGTGAGGGGGTGCATCACTACCTTCCCAACCGAACCCACATCACCCTCACTCCCTTTCACATCCTCAACCATGAGGAACATCCCGGGGTCGGCATTACCTTGTGCACCATCACCTTGTGCACGTGAACCTTGCACAGCGCCACCTCGTGCACGTTCACCACTTGGCGGCTTCATGCCTGGAGGCGCCCATCCCTCAGGCCGGCTGAAACACTTGAACCATGGGTGGCCAGCCTTCTTGCAGTACCAGCACGCACCCTCCATTCGGGTGCTCCCCCTGCCACCAGAGCTTCCATGCCCCTCGTTATAGTCACCTCGGCCTCTCCCTCTGCCAAAGCCTCTCCCACGGCCTCGGCCTCTCCCACCCCCTCTTCCTCTGCTGCCTCCTGCAGCTCCATACCCCTCAGCAGTTTTGTTGGCAGCACCGCCTCCTGTGTGGCGCCTGCGGAAATCCTCCTGCAGAATCTGCTGCCGTAGCCACTCAGGTGTCCACTGGTCCTGTTGAGTGTTGAGGGTGGGGATGAGGTTGTCCCATGTGTTGTCAAGCACCAAGATGATCTTGGTGCACTGCTGCATCTGTGACACCTTGCTGCCCGCCGCTGCCATCCTCGCATAGGTGTCCTTGATCTTGTCAAGGAACGGCTTCACATCATCACCCGGTCGCATGGAGAGGGCAGCCAGCTCCTTCTCCAACACAATCACCATCGGCAGCGTGTTGGGCTGAATCACGTTGCGCAGTAGCTTCCATGCCTTCGGTCCCGAATCATCGAGCTCCACCAAATCCTTGATGTGCTAGAACATGTCGTTGTTGACCGATTGAAGGATAAGGTCGTACAGCACCGCGCTCTTCTCAATCCACCGATCGCGGGCGTCGCCTTCCTCCGACATCTTCTCTTCTCCCATTGCAATTTTCAGCAACTTGTAGCGCTTGAAGGCGCTCCTCATCCGCCCGCTCCATTCCTCATAGCTGGAGCCATCCAATGCCTCGATCTTGGATGGTGGCGGCTCATTCCTTTTCTCAGCTGCATCTCCACTCCCTTGACTCATTTCCTCTGCTCCCAATCACAGATTCCAGCTCCCCCTTTGCTGTCCACACCGAAGTCCCACTCAATTTCCACAAGTGTCGGCGCCAACGAAATTTCGGCAGAGTTTCCCCTTAGCGGAAGTCACATGCAATTTCCAGAACTCCATTTAGGCACGCCCACAGGCCATCGTGGGTCTAGGAGGGTCTTCAAACTTCAGTAGACTCTCCAAAAAGTCCTTAATTAGCTCTGATACCACTTGTTAGAGACTAAGGACGGAGTCTACGAAGATTAGGTGCCTAAATTTCTCAAAATCGTTGGCTTAGAAATTTGGACAGAAAACTTCGAGTTCACAAGAAACGCCGTCGACGAAAGTTGCACTGTTAAAACTTCACCAAACTCAGATATGTGGTAGCCCTAGCCCGTGGCTACAATTTCCAGTTTGAATCGTACGATAAGGTGAAGCATTTCTTGAGTTATGAATTTTGGCGCACTAGGGGGTATGCTGCCTGTTATAGTCACAATAGGCTTGAATGTGCCTAAAACGAAAGATAGAGAGCACAGACGGATTTCTGCACAGCGGCTTCAAACGTTGATAGCGTTCTTCTCACAGGTGCAAATGACTTGATTCAAATTGGATCTGGAGCGTCTTCACGTCGTCTACAATTATCAATTTAGATTGCACGATTTGATAAAGAATTGACGACACAGCGTCAGTTTGAACGAACGGTACTATGGCAGCCACTATAGTCTTAGAACACAAGATAGAAAGAGTTACGAGTTGGGAATGACTCCCAGCTCCTACAAACCCCAAGAGCCGAGGTACAGTGATGTGGAACAGTGCCACACTGTCCCCAACCACGAAGGGTCTCGAAACTACCCTTCACTAGGGCCTACACCAAGTGAAATGTTACACTACACAAAGTAATGTAACTATCTTCAATATCTTGAGGTGTACCCTTTTTGGCGAGCTTCGAAATCACTTGAGGCTTGACACCAAGGCTCGGGCTCTTCATCACAAACTCATCCTTGAGTTCTTGATGGGTCTGCTGCACACACCTGCGACACGCCGAACGTTCGACACAGGACAAAATAGAAA